CAAAGAAGTAAAGAAGGAGAAATTTATATTACTGACCATCTATTCTAGATTTTTTTTTTTTTCCAGAAACTCCATCTAGGTATGGCTTTAATGCATTGTGATTGTATATTCTAAGTTCAACTATGTTTTACTTTTATAAAATTCAGGGTAATACAAAAATTAAGTATTAGCCTATATTTAAAATGTGATGATAGTGCTCAAAAATGTTAACCACAGTGGTAGGTAATGTATACAATGAACATGGGGCTCTCCTTGAGGGGCACACAGTTATGACTACTCAACAGACTGCCATCTTATGCTTATAGCTTTTAGTTTTTCTCTACTGTTACAATGTTCTCAAAGTCTTTTCATTTATCTAGATAAGTTTAACAGGACACTTGTTCTAATAGATTGCAAAGTATTCTAAGAAAGATTAAGGTGAATAGTCATAGCAGATATTTGTCCAGATAGCATCTGCATGCCTTTTATGATTTGCTATTAGATCAAACACCTAAAATACTGTTTGGTGATTTCTTTGCAGCCTCTCATGTGGAAAATTTGAAATGCCGAGGGGAAACAATAGCTAAGGAGATCAGTGAAGCCATGAAGGTAAGAGCTACATGCTAAAAAATTATAAAATGAACAAAATATATGGCTAGGTATTTGCTTTGAACATTCATATGTGTTTTATTCTGCTGTGACAGGAATTCTCAGCAGTCTCTTATTATAAATAGATCTTTAATGAATTTATTAAGTGACAGTAAGATTCAGAATAACCACCATTTATCAGGTACTTACTGTGTGCCAGGTATCAACCCTGACTTCTTTAAAGGTTGGTTATGTTTTGGGGTTCTGAGCATTAGCAGTTCATCAAACAATTTTGTATAATAATACTAGCTAAAATTAATTGAGCACTTAGTATGGGTACCATCTAACTACATGTATTACCTCATTTAATCCTTCTGCTAACCCTGTGAGATAGGTACCATTATTTCCTTATTTTATAGATGAGGAAGGTGAGGCACAGAGAGGCTAAGTAGGTTGCTCAAGTAAGTAACTGAGCCAGGATTTAAACCCTGGTTGTCTGGCTCCAACATCTGTACACTTAACCACTGTGTTAGACGACGTCTCCAGCTTGGGAGTTTTAATATTACTACGGTAGAATTGTTTATATTGTTGACATTTACTCGCCTAGACAGAAAAACATTTAGATTTCTAGTATATGAAAATTATTTTTAAACTCCTTCAGAATCTCCCCTGTTCTGATGTTAATTTTCTATAACATTCGTTTGTGGTTTGGATTGATTCCATGATTTTCTGGTGGTCATCCTTCTCTCACAGCATGTTTTTGATCAGGAGTTGTCAAACTATGGTGAGCCAAGCTAAAATTCAGCCTGCCCTTGTTTTTATAAGTAAAACTTCACTGGAACACAGCCATGTCCATTCAATCACATTACAACAGCAGAGTTGAGTTTTTGTGACAGAGACGTAAAACCCCCAGAGCTTGAAAATATTTACTCTGCGGTCCTTTACAGGAAAGATGTACTGATCCATGCTGGTGATGATTAAAATTTCTAAAATACTCATTATTCTAAAATATGGAATTTCAGACATTAAATCCTTAGCTCGGAAATGCTCTTACCTCCTGTTCTGCCAAAATTTTATTTTACTGCCAGACATTGGAGGGATAGAACATATCTTTTAGTACTAGCTTTTAGTTAAAATTCCTCAGCTTACACTAGTATTTTGAAGGTAAAGTCAAATATCTATGACTCCAGAATGTTAGATCTCAGAATAAGCCTTGAGCTGAAGAATTGAAATCTAGAATGTTGTGTCCATCTCCATGTGTTTGTGTTTCAACCTGAGATTAATGTGACTGTTACTGTTTTTTTTTTAAGTCCTTGCCTGCATTAATTGAAAAAGGAGACGGATTTTCCCAAGTTTTAAAGATGCAGCCTATTGTCCAGCTTCAGAGGATCCACCAAGAAGTCTTTTCCAGTTGTTATAGGAAACCAGATGCTAAATCTGAGAGCTTTATTGCACAAATAGAAACCACACCAACGGAGACTGCTTCCAGAAAAACCTCCAATGTGGTATTGAAAAGGAAGCGAACTAAAGACTGCCCCCAAAGAAAATGGTATCCTTTGCGGCCAAAGAGAATTAATCTTGACACATAAGCTCTTTTTGTTTATTTTGGGAGTTGAAAATAGGCGCTGTCAACATTTAAATTATAGCCTAATACCTAGACAAGACTTCATTTTAAACAACAAATAACTCTTTTACTGGTGATTGATTTATACAAATATAGTAGCTCTATGCTAGAATGTGATATAATATTGTATTTCTTTCCTAACCATTTCATCATTTTCAATGAAAAGCTTTTTTTTTTTTAAAAGTATTGGCACAAAGCCCATCAATGGGCATTAAGAATGCAAACTGTTACTGTCCTTAAATGCCATCAACTCTTGGCTGCCTTATAGCTTTTGTGGAATTTCATGAGTAACATATTCTGTTGGGTTTCCCTGATATACATCTTTCTTAAAAAAGACAAAAACTATGTAATGATTCTTCATTTGTGTGCTGGAAAGTAATCTTCATCAGTTCTGCACAACAGCAGATGTAGTATTTCTTTTAGATGCAGTTTGATTTATCAAATTAATGTGCAGATGACAAGACTGGCTTTGACTTTGTTACTCTGTGTTCAGCTAATTTGGATTTGTGGGATTAATTTTTTTTTTTTTGTAAGATATGAAGATATTATTTATGCAAGAATTACTCTTAGAAATAAAAATTGGCATATAGCCAAGGTTCCCTTTCCACGATTTTGTTTTCCATAGACCTTTTAACATAATTTGTCTTGGAGCTAATAATTTCTTTTTAGGATTTCTCATTTATTTCTTTATAGATCATTCCAGTATAAAAGATATATCAGATTAATACATTGGAAAATTGTCATTGTGGAACAGATGCAGTCATACTATATAAACTCTCTCACATTTGAGAATGTTTATATATGAGATATCTAATCATTGGTAGGAGTCTGAGAAAGCTATATTGCCTTTACGTCTAACATTTAAGCACAGTTTCTTATAGCTCTTGTGTCTCTTACTCATGTTATACAATGTAGGCAGGGCCGTCTAACTTACTGTTTCCCTTTTTGATGATTATAATACCTTCATCCATTTTCAGAGGAATTTATCAATCATGAGGTTGGAAAATCTGTACTTCCTTTGCTCATTATGTCTTAATAATTGTAAATGTCTAGATTTGACAGATCTGTCTCAGTGAAGAAAACTTACAAAGCCCCTTTATTGCATTTTGTGTTTTAATATTACAATTTGAGATCTGTATATTTGTACAAAGCAGTGTGTTTTTTATTAAAATAATGTACAAAGACTAAAATCTTGATACTGTGTATTTTTAAGAGTTGTCTTAGACATTCTTGAGCTCAGCTTTAGTTGAATGGTAGATCAGCACCCTATAGTTCAGAACATACTAGACTTCACTTGAAAACTGTTTTGAGGCTACAGAATATTCTTATTCTTGCAGTGGTAACTTTAAAGGTATTAAAATTCCATGTGATGTTTCACTTCAGACGTCCCCAAACAAAAGAATTATTGTTAATTCTATTATATGAGGTAATTACATTTTGATTATATGAGAGAATACCCCTCCACCTTTTTAAGAGATGCTTATTGAGATAGAGTTAAATGACTTGATGTCATGAATTTACTCTGAAATATTTCAGCAAAGAAAAAAAGAAAAGGAATAGATTAAGCAAATGTGGCAAAAATCTTGATAATGTAGAATATGTGTGATGGATTTAAGTCTTTCTACTTTGTGTCTGGAAATTTTTACAGTTAAAAAAAGTTTATTATATTTTAAAGCCCCCAGACAGCTGAGACTTAAAATCCTTTTGAGAGCCCAAAGTTTCACTCCACAGTTATAGCACAGTTTAAAAGAAATATTGTTGGAAGAGACAATAGATTAGCACTGTTAACTAAGATAAACACAACTGACATGAGTAATAATATTGAATAAGTATACACTGCAAGAGGAGAAGGTGCATTTCTGCATAGGCCAAGAACTAGAAAGCTAGGAGGATTAAAAGTAAGTCTGTAGTTTTAGGGAATGTTGGAAAGGTTGAAGGAAAAAATTGAAAATCAAATCTTGATCTCTCTATGGTGAAAAGGATAGATTGGATAGGGTCTTAAAATTCTCCTTTGGAAAAAAATAAAACACAAGAAGGTCAAATCTCGTCCCAAGGGAGAGAAAATGCTGTCATCTAGCTGCTTTCTCAAATTAGTAAAGGAAAATCTGTGTTTTTTAAACCTTAGCCATTAGAACTGTCTTAGCTTGGGCTGCTATAACAAAATTCCGCAGACTGGGTAGCTTAAACAACAGACATTTAATTCTCACTAGTGTCTCTTCTTATAAGGACACTAATCCTGTCAAATCAGGACCCCACCCTTATGATTTCATTTAACCTTAATTACTTCCTTAAAGACCCCATCTCCAAATACATCCACATTAGGGTTTAGGGTCTTTACGGCTTGAGCTAGATAGAGAACAAAGTTAATAAAATCAGTTTTTTAATTTGCATCAAAGTATGATTTCATCTTATAAAATGTGCTCAGTTCTAAGACTGAGTTTGTTTGACTTCTCTTGGAGGCCTTACTTTTCCCTATTCACCTTAATTCATTTATTCATCTATTTAGCAAATACATGCTGGGCAGTACTCAGATCAAGAGTCAGAGCATAGCCTCTGAGCCAGATCATCTGGATTCATATTTCAGCTCTACCACTATTAGTTAAGTGGCACTGGGCAGGTTACTGACTCTCTCTGTGCTGCAGTTTTCTCATATGCAAATTGGGAGTAATGCTAATACTTACCTCGGGATTCTTATGAGAAGTAAATGAGTTCATAACATAAAGTCCTGAGACTAATTAGTACTTGGCACGTTGTGAATATTCTATGAACACTATTTTTATTACTTGATAAACAAAATGAAAACACTCATAGGACAAACATTGCCTTCAGGAAGCTCATATTCTAGTGAAAAGGATAAGTATGCAAATGATAATGCAATACAGCAAATGGTATAACAGATGTATGCGTGGGGAAGAAGTCATGGAAGTCTTTGTAGAAGAGGTAACAATTGAGCAGTCTTGAATGTTTTAGGCAAATGATCAGGGAAGAAGATTCCCAGCAGTGTGAGAAGAATTTACCGAGGCAGGTAGTTGGGAGAGAGCATGGTGTACTGGAGGACTTTCAGGTCTGCCTATCATAGGTAGGTCTTGTCTAACGGGACTTGCTAGAGGTGAATCTGCAGAGGTAGCAAGGTCAGCTCTCAAAAACTTAGTGCTTAGAGTTGGTGATGAGGAGCCTTCAAATGGCAACGTGGAGGAGTGACGTCTCCATCAACCATAGTTGCAAGTGGGTAATCTCTGAAATAGCTGACCCAAGATAGACAATATGGATGTTATTCAGCAAATACCACAGTAAAGAATTGGAAGAGTGGAAAGTGTTAACTCTGTGGATGAACTTAGGCAGGGGAAGTGGGCCAGGGACTGATATTTTTTGATATACACCTTATAGATTTGATTTTTAAAATTCTGTGCATGTAATATTTGGGTAAAAATAAATTCGATCTTAAAATCATTTTAAAACTGTATCACAAATACAAGTTAACATGAATAATCTTCTCACTATCTTCCACTCTTGGTATTATTGAGAATTAAGTAACAAATTATCCCCCAGAAGCTTTCTCAGGGTTTCAGTTGCATTATCACAGCATATTTCAGATGAGACTTGTATTCTCTGTTTTTGGCTGAGAGTTTTGGTTTCTTTGGGTTGGTTGGTTTGTTTCCTCCTCTTTGACCGTTTGTTTTGCAAATAGATTATATTAGCAAGCCTCTTTGTATAAAACTGAGGGGGGTGTGGAATCTAGAGCACCACTGAAGGTTTTTTGGGAATTTTTTATGAAAGGATTTGAGGAAACAGCGTTATGTTCATTCCAAGCTTTAAGGGTAAGAGTCCTCCCGTGATACATTGCTCTATCTCTACGTTACTTATACCCCATGCACCCTCCGCTAATACTAGTTGAATGAATGAATGATTTCATATTGCAAATTTCTAACTTGTCAGTTTCCCTAGATCACAATGTCAGGCATTAATGACTTGTGGCATTTATGTTCATGATTAATTGAGCTTAGAAGATAGGTTTATTATTGCTGGGGCTGGGGTGGGGGGAAGGAGATTTAAAGGACTGAGGAGGGCAAATCACTGGGAAACTCACCTGCATTAGGACTCCAGAGTCTCCCAGCTACTAGAGCTAAAGTCTAGTCCCCGCATCCCTGCAGGACATCAGAGCAGAGGCTGCATGGACACCCCTCAGAATGACCTCATGGCACTAGCAGGTATCCTTACCCCCTGGGCCTCTTTTCCTTCAGTTACATTCCCTTGACTTCCGGGCGGCCTGGGATAGACACTTAATAAAACCTGACTCCTCCCCTGTGTCCTCTGCTTCAGCTGCTTCCCCTGCCTGTGCAAGATCAGGCTACGGTATCATCACCTTGACAAGTCTCATTCAGAGAGTGGCTCCAATGCCTTTGGGCTCATACCTACCGGCGATTTTAAGACCCCCCCCCTTGCTGCCCACTCCCGTGGCTCTGTGGCCCACACCTTCTGCCATGATGGCAGTGCAGTTCTCTGTCCACTTCTGCCCCTGATGCCCTCTCCTTGATGAAAGTGAGACCCCTCCATACATCTCTTCACAGGCCCATAAGTATCTGAGGCTCAAGCTTTTCATTCTTGTTGTTTCTTCAAACTCTTCTGAAGGTTTAGTTCCTCCATAAGGCAGCCTCTCTGCTTGCCCTTCTGCCCAGGGGGCTTGCTGCCTGGATCACTCCAATAAGCCTATAGTCTGCCCACCTCTGCCCTTTGCAGCACCAGCTGATTCAGTTGCTTTTTTCCATATTAGGGTTCCCTTGTTCCTTTCTTCCTACAATGGAAGTTCCTTTCCTTTGGAGTCATTTCACAGCTGAGTATCTCCACCAGAAGAATAGCTAGGAAAAAAGAAGAGGGCAAGCTTTGACCTTGGTATCTTGCTTCATTTCCTTCCCTGATAAAAATATGGCGAAGAGGGGGGCGGGGAAGGGTTAAAATAAGTGTGGGTGGCTGGGTGTGGTGGCTCATGCCTGTAATCCTAGCACTCTGGGAGGCCGAGGTTGGAGGATCGCTTGAGGTCAGGAGTTGGAGACCAGCCTCAGCAAGAGCAAGACTGTCTCTACTAAAAATAGAAAAAAAATTAACTGGGCATGGTGGCGCACGCCTGTAGTCCCAGCTACTCGGGAGGCTGAGGCAGAAGGATCGCTTGAGACCAGGAGTTTGAGGTTGCTGTGAGCTAGGCTGATGCCACGGCACTCTAGCCCAGGTGACAGAGTGAGACTCTGTCTCAAAAAAAAAAAAAGTGTGGGTATGAATTGCCTCTGATTTGTCATATTCTATCTATGCCCTGTCTGCCTGTCTCCGCGAAGGTGTAGAAATTAGGAGATGGCACTGGCGGAATGATAGAAGTTGGCCAACCTGTAGGACACCTCTGCTCCAGGTCCCACACATCCCGGCTCTAGGGCCTTGTGCTCTTTCCCAACCATGGGGCAAATATTTTAAAATCGTTTTTCATAATCACAGCTTCTTTTATTCCACAAATACTCGTGTGCCAAGAGGCATGTGGATATAAGGCCTGACTCTGCTCAAGAGACATCGGTGGCAGCTGGGGACCCATTAGGGGTCAGAGAGGGAGCCTGAGCAAACAGAC